GGGGGGGGGGGGGGGAGAAACGGCAGTATGGGGGGGAGGGGGGCAGTCTGCTCCTCCCAGTGGCTGGTTGTCTCCATCGTCAACCCAGGTCACTCGCCACTGACGGATGCTCCTTTCAGCCGTCAGCAAGACAAGGAGGACACTTCCACTCACTGCTGGGTTTGACCTCCTGGTCTCTGGAGCATGGATCAATATCAGCAATGGCACTAGCAGGCTGGACGCATGAAAAATGAACACCGGCCTCTGTTGTTCTCAAGGAGCTCCGTGTTTATATATATATGTGTGTGGCATTGTCAATGCTGGGCACCTCGAAAATGACCTCTCTCACTTCTCCTTCCCTCCTCCCTCCCCGAGCCCCTCCTTGCTGGTTTGAGCCTGCACCCCGTGCCCATATGTCCATGTCTGCGGGGTGGGGTCGGTTCGGTGAAGCGGGCCGGGTTCCCATGGACTGCGTTGGTGGGGGTTACCTGGAATCTGCGCATGTCTCGGGGGTTTCCTGCATTCTTCAAACAGTTCTGATTGCACTTGAGGAAGAACTTCAGGAAGAACCTGCGAGAAAGAGAGAGAGAGAGAGAGAAAAGGACAAGGGCCTTGAGTCAAGGGGGTACTGATCCACACAGTCAGTCACATGTGTTCATGGTAATTAGGGTCATTTTCCTCATTTGTTGTTCACCAGAATAGCACATTTCAGAAATATCCCAACAGTCCGTCCTCAGACTTCTCTTAATGTGCCCTGTACTTGTCCACAATGCCTCCTGTCCGTCCACGAAAGTCGCCCCTGACTTGCCAAATGGTGGATTCTCCCTGGCTGTTAAAGACGATGGTAACCCTCACCCCAGAGTCCCATCACCTGCAGCGACACTCGCGACACCCAGAGACACCCAGAGACACCCCATCTGCCGTCGGCGCAAAGGAAGTCACTTGATATTCCTCCCGCCTTCTTCTCCCAGCAGCCTCTCCGCAATTAAGGCTAACGTGTTCAATAGTGGGGTAAATTAGGCACACCTGTGGCCAGAATGCTCCGGAAGAGTCACCGGCAAGAGGACCTAACAAGGTGAGAGCATGTCGCAAAGTTATCGTCCTGTCAGCCAATTAGGCCGTCCGTGTCTGGGACGTCGAGAGCCGGGCAATTACGCCGCAAATTACAAGCCGGCTAATCTTCTGAACAAATGTCAGGTCTGGGAGATCGGAGTGGGGCCGTGTCCCAGGCGTAGTGCCGGCTGTTTGCGAGGCTCCATCATTCACATATCGGGGTCCTACGCCAACCTGCCCTACGTGTGCCCGAATGAAAAAGGCACGTATTTTTAAAACGTAGCCCTGTCGCAAGGACACAAAGATAAGGTAAACACAGAGGTAAATGGGGTCACAATGTAAGGAATTAATATTACCTTAATGCTTAATGTACACCTATAATATAGATTTTACAGTCCACCCAATAACACCCATAGCTGACAATACTAAATATATACCTCACTCATAATTTAAATATTCAGCTCTATATTTTATGAACATGCATGTACTTGTCTGTGAAAATATTCATTTAGAAGAAGGTCCTTCTGCATATTGCCATTATATAATGACTCTGACTGTTCTAGCCCTGAGATCACGTTTGCTTAATTTAACAGATGTATTCTCCGTTGGCACATATGACGGCGCAGCACACGGGGAAATTTTTATTTTATTATTTCTTATCTGGAAGCCGCCCCCCCCCCCCCCCCCCCACCCGTTCTCCAAAGGGACCCCGGGCCGGCAGCCATTAATCAAAATGTGAAATGGCAGCCGCTAACCTAGAGCACCCGCACAGCTCTGCTGGTCATTTATACGCCTCGCACAGGGGGCCGTCCGGACCCCCCTTGCCGCCGCCCCCCTACCCGGCCGGGCCCATGGCTCTGGAGAGAAGGGTCCGGGCCCGAAAAAGGACTATTTTCTTTGCATGTCAGAAAATCTTTAGCTTGTGCATCAATAAAGTCAGTTTTATAGTTCTGGATGTAGATCTGGTGCAGGGCTGGGGGTGGCGGAAGAAGGGGTCAGATACAGGTCCTGTCATTAGCACTTTATGCTTAATTGTGTACAGTATGTTGTTTGGTTCCGTCCGCTGGCCTGTTATCAAAATGACCATTATGTGCACTAATTCTCTGACCCTGTTCTTATTTCCCTGAAGAGTCATAATCTTTCACAGTAGGTACCGGAGTAAATCAAGCCTGAAATATGGCCTTTATTTACTCACGTCTCTCTCGCCGGCTGTGGAGCAGAGGGTCTGTGCTCCTGAAGCGCTCTCTCTCTCACACACACACATACACACTCCCACACGCACACACACAGCACTTGAACACACACAGCCACGCGCTAACAATGGGCTAACAGAATTCTGGGGGGGGGGAGGGGGGGTCCGGCGTATTTCTTACTGGCACTCAGAAGTCAATTAGCATCTAAACCTTAATGGCGATGGGGGGCATTTTTACATTTAGTTTTGTAGGTTTTTCTTTCCGAGTGTTTTGCCCAAACTCTAATCTGTCCACTGATGGCCGGATGATGCATCGAACTGGCTGATTAAGTAAATCCTGGAGCGGTGAGTGTCCTCTCATCAAGCGAACCCCCCCCACACACACACACACAGACACACACACACACATCAACGGTGGACGTGACTGAGCCCCCCTCGCGTTCGTGCGCGGACAAAGGCAGCCGCACGCGGGCGATGAAAGGAAGGAAGGACCCCCTAATTTAAAGTCGATTCAGTGTTTAGTTCATTTATATTTACATTTATGAGGCTGATGAACCAGAGCCTCACTGCTATCTGATGAAAATAATTTTAATTGTACTTCCAGGCAGCAGTGTAATATCCATTACATTAGGAGCTGTTTAAATTCTACTTGGGTATTGTGTAAATTGGTCCTTTGTGAGTCGCGAAGCAATTATGACCCGAAGGCCGGCTGTTTCTACCCTCCTCCTCTCTTTCTGCCTTATTTAAATGGCTACGGAACTTTGCGGTGTTGTTCGGGATGATCAGAAACAAAGAACGGCGTTTAATTGTAATTTAATGGAATATCAAGGAGTCCGCGGCATTAGACGTCGGCGGAGGAGTGCAAGAGAGAAAAATTAACTGCAATTATGTTTGATTAAAGCTATCCTTCTCAATAATCAGCGCTTCTGACAGACCAGTGGGCTCTGGTGGCTTTCCGGAATGGCGAAAGGTGTTGAACAATATTAGGGCCAATAAAGGGGGATATTAGCATAGCTAATTACAGAGGTGCAGAATCAAGGGGGGGAAAGGGGGCCTCTGTGTATTGTAATGTGCAAAATAATTGGCCGAGGCAGTTATCAATTACAAGGGGAGTGAATCTGGTTTGTCAGGCAGAGGGGCTGAGAGCGAGCGTCTAATTCGCTGTGTCGCCTCGCTCCCAATGTCCCCCCCGGCAACATGGGGGAACTTATCAGCCTTCATCGCCCCGCCCGTGACTCACCAGTCGACAAATCGCCAAAGAAATTACCCTGCCGACCGACGGGCGGGTAATTAATACGGGCCGGCCTTCGCTGCGCGAGCCTTAGCCAGCCGCCGCCGCCGCTAATCGTGTAATAATGATTCCCTCCCCTCCGGTTGCGTTAAAAAAAGGCTGCCTTTTTAGAGGGAGCTCATAGATGGGCTCCACGGTCCCTGGGTGACAGAGGAAAGGGGGGGGGGGCACTTTGGGGTCAGGTGGGGGTCTCTTTTCCAGAGTCTCGAGCTGGTATCAGAGGGTCCTTCGTCCGCAGGGAGAACAGAGAACAATGAAATGGGTGACAGCATGGAGAGTGCTGCACAGAGACAGTGGCCATCGTAATTGGTGCTACAGCGCCCCCTATGGATCTTGACCCCCCCCCCCCCCCCTTTTTTTACCTCATTTAATGCAGAGGCGTGAAAGTCCCAGTACGTCCCAATTATTCTAAACACCAGGCCAGGCCCTGAGGTTGGCATGAACGCGCAGTGACCTCGCGGTAATAAGTCGTGACAATCCTGCGTCCGTTACGGACGGGCCGGCGCGTCTGATTCGCTGCGGCGAACTCGTCCCATCGCGCTGAAGGATACTGAGATGGGACCTTCTGCTGACTTTGCCGGGGAGGCAAGTTTTTTTAGGACCAGGCAGCATTAAAAAAATTTTTTAAAAAAAGTTAAAAAATATGGAACGGTCCATTTCTGCAGTGGAGTGTTCCAACTTTCAGCCTGGGAGGGGGGGTATCCAGTGTTGTTTTCCACACTTGTGTCTGGATTTACACAAAACCGGAAGGGTGGGATGTGCAGATGCTGCGATAAGAGTAGGGGTCGGAGGGGGAAGGCGAGGCAGGTAAAAATCCAGCGTGAAGAGAGGAGAACCGGCCCATACCAGCACGGCACTAATTACCGGCACTGGGAGCCCTGGCCACAGCTGTGCCGCTCTGGAGTCAGGCCATCAGTCGCTGTGATTATTGATTACCCAGCAGCCCCAGCCGATCGGGTCCCTCCGCCTGCTAGACAATGTGCTTCTCTCGGAAAACCAGTAATGAGCATTTCCTACACGGCTACATTTTGCTGACACCGGATCTCTGCGCTGTGATAGTACACAGGTCAATACATATCGGATTCCCAAAATGCTGGGGTCCGAATGTCAGTGTTCCGCCTTAGTCGCCGTGCTGCCCTGCGTATAAGGGCTCGCTACCGCCTCCTTAAGGGCCGGCGTGGGATGGTGGTTCAAAAAACATAAAAAACAGCTCTCCATTAGACTGATTTATTCTTCAAATATGGCATGACAAATTGCTTTAACACCGGGCTTATTAAATTCTTGTACGTTTTATGTTATGGAACTCTCAGGTGGGCTCATGACATCACGGCGGAGGGGCCCTCGGACGGGGCAGCCGGTTTTACAGCAGGAACCAGATGGCCCTTTGTCAAGCGTCCGTTCTCCCTGTTTCACTCTCACACGGGGGCAACCTCACACACACACGCACACACACACTTTGTGGGGACTCTCCATTCATTTCTATGGGGAAAACTCTAATCCCAGCATGACAACCTTAACGTCTACCCTGCCCTAACCTTAACCATAAGTATCAAAACAAAATATGAGACTGTAGTTTTTGATTGCATTTACAGATCATTGTGGGGACCTGAAAAATTGTCCCCACAATGTAAAAATTTTTGGCCTTTGGTCCTCACAATGTAATATAAACATAGTCCACACTCAAAGACACAAACACATGTAAAATGGAACATCCGTGGATTGTAACATGCACCTGACGGTGAGGTCAGTGCCACGTGGTTCGTGGACCGCGGCCGGCGTTCCGGCACCTTCCGCAGTAGTTACCACACTGCATTAACAATATTTGCCCTACAATCATCGGGGGACCGACTTCTCAGATTCTATCACTGCTTTATCTCCTGACAAATACCTCGCTATCGGACATTATTAGCTTTCGAAATTTAACCCCTCCCAGTCTCAAGCCTCTGCAGATCGTTCCATTTCACCTTATCAGGCTATTCTTGTATTATTTTTTTCACTTCTCCTTGCAATTTTTCCGCATTGGCTGTCAAGGGC